ACCACGTGAAGCGCATTGCAGAGACGACCAGCTGGCCTCCACCCACCTTCCGTCTTCTCCACTTCTTTAAACCTCTGGATGAACTTTAGCCTCCTGTCCTTCGTCTGTGCTCCCATGGGCTTTGAGAGGTCCCGGAACGTCTTGGGGTTTGTCAAGTTCAACGTCTGAAAGGCAGATGTGCAGCTGGAGTTAACTCCCCAAGACCCTGGCGTGCCCCAGGAGCCCCAGGAGATACGCTCTTTAGCTTTATGGCTCTCTTCCCTGGGGGAGTGTCCTCTGATCTGACGCCTCAGGTGATTAGCAGGGGAGGGGGCTTTATGGCCCTGGAGCCAGTGACCCACAGGCTGGAGGGGAGGGAGATGGGAAGGAGAGGAGGGGGAGGAGTTTGGGGAGAAAAGTGGAGGGACAGCCTCATCTCTGTGGAACACGCCCCTCCTGGCAGTGATGGGGGGACAGAGCAGAGGTGCCTGAGCGGGTGCAGGCCAGGGGTCCCCGATGGTTCATTCTAGCAGAGATGCTCGGTGTGAGTGGAAGGGCCTGTGCCTCCCAGGCTGGCATGAAGGTATGGGGGTGTTTATGCCCCAATGCCTTGGCACTAGCCATTACCCGGGAGGCAGGGCCTGTGCACCTGCAGAGCCAGGCTGGCCAGAGGGAAGAGGCTCTCCTGAGACCCCACGTACCACAGTGGACACCCTCACTCAGCTGCCACCTTTCCTGATTTTCCAAGATACTTAAGAGATCCAGATTTGGGGGAGAAATCTCTCAGTATTTAAATGCAGTAAAGAATCAAAATTGAAGGCTATGCAGAGGGGCTGGTGAGCCAGCACGCTGTAAAACGTGAGCTAAAGCTGCAGTTTGCAAGTTCCACATTGGACACACCTCAGCCTCAGGTGCTGTCAAGGCAGGAAGAAGCTGCATTTGGCTCAGGTGGGACAGGAGGTTCCAAATGGGAGGAGCCCCTCCCCCATATCCTGAAGGCCAGCCACCACCCAGCAGAGCAGGAAGGCTGGGCGGAACCAGGTCCCAGACTCCTCCTGCCCCCTCCACAGGTGCCTCTTGGGGGCCTGTGGGCGGAGGCGCACCCTCCATGCCGGCTCCTCCCCATGGCATCACCATGGCCCACTGCCAGCCTTCCTCCTCCCTCCACCACCCCCCTGCGGAGGGCCAGGCATGGGCGCCATAAGGCACCACCAGGTCTCGCCCCGCGCCTGCCCCGTCGCCCCCTGTCAGTGCAGATGCTGGGTGCAGTGCACACCACCACCTCCGACTGAGCCTGGGCTACAGGGGAACAGCTCATGCCTCTCTCTTGCTCTCTCCATCCTGTGCCACCCCCCCGCCTCCACACACACACACTCAGAGCACAGGGGCAGACCCGCAGCCGCACCCCAAGGGCAGTGTGGTCCATGGCATTGTCTGAGCAGAGGAGCATCGTCCTTCCGGGAGGCCAAGCCAGACGCTCTCGGGCCTGTTAGCCTGGTCCTGCCTGGTCTGCCAGCTCCCAGGCAGGTCACCTTCCCACAGGGCTGGGCAGGCCCCAGGCGGCGGGACTCAGAGCCTTACCCAGGGCAGGGGCCGCAAGGAGCAGCCTGGGCCCAGGTGAGCTGAGCCTGGCAACAGAGGCTCTGTGCGCTGACTTAGGAACCTGGTTGTCCAGGGTCCGAGACCTCGGGACCCCACAGTGCTCCAGGAACACATACCTGTGAGGTGTAGTCCGCCAGCACCCAGGGGAACACGGGGTATTGCATGTAGTCATTGTGGGTCCTCCCGGCCAGCGTGTTGAGGTGCATGAGGTACTCGAAGTTGCTGATCTCCCTTTTCTGCCAAAAAGAGAGAGGTTGGCCTGGTCGGTCTGGCTCTCACTCCCGCAGCCCCTGTGCCAGCCCGCTCAGCTGGGGCCATCCCCCTAGGGACCTGCAGCAGTCCAGGCGGGGAGGGGGGGTGAGGGTGGGGGAAGCCACGGAGAGTACGCTCACAGCCCAGAGCCGGGGGAAGCGCTGAGTGACGGGTGGGTGTGATCACCCGGGTGGGTGTGATCACCCGGGTGGGTGTGATCACCCGGGTGGGTAACACACAGAGGCCGAGTGGAGAGCTGACTGCGGACCACAGACACTCACACAGCGGGGACTTCGCAGTCACAGAGAAAGGCCGAGCAGCAGGCTCATGGCCTGTCCCTGGGACTAGGAACCCCCTCTTCCCTGTCCTGTAAGTACAGTAACTCTCCCTCCGAGGGCCGCAGGCGGACAGTCCCCGGCGGAGACGGGACTGCATGGGGGAAGTTCCCGGGGCCCCTGGCGAATGAGCGGGCCGCCGGTCAGTCTGAGGCCCCGCTGCGGGCGTGGTCTCTGCAGCTCCAAGGCTCCAGAATCTCCTTCAACCACTGAGGTCTTTTCAGAAAATTATTGGGACATGTTGGTAAATTAAATATAAAAGGTCCCTCCTGACTCATCCACTTGCCTTCTTCTCCATCCCTGGGGCCTGAGCTGTTTTCTGGTTTGCATCCCTGAAGGGTTTCCTCAAACCCAGAGTCCTCTGAGGGGTCACTTACCTGCCACCTCTGCAGCATGGTCCTGTCGGAGCCGGGGTACCTCCTGTGGGACAGAAAGCATCTCAGGCATGGCGTGGGATGGGGGTAGGGGAGGGGGGAGGTGGGGCTGCTGGGGCTATGCAGACCCAGGCACACAGGAAAGCCTCAAAATGCCTGGTGCAGAGCAAGCTCTTCTTGCCCTCACGCCTGCTGGCGGTGAGGGTCTGGCAGCTTCGGTCACACTTCTGATGCCAGAAGATGCTGTCCCCTTACGTGCCGCCCATGTAGAGCCGGGCGAAGGGCAGAGTGAGTTTAGGGGCCTCACATTTCACATGGATTTCCCACCTTCTTTGCCCTTGTGAATATGATGTATTGACATGTGAATGCAATATATGTATGTGGTTAAAAATGCAAACAATATAGCTCTGGCCAGTATAGCCCAGTGGATAGAGCAATGGTCCAGGCACTGAAGGGCTGGGGTTTTCATTCCCAGTCAAGGGCACGGACCTGTCAAGGGTTGTGGGTTTGCTTCCCACCCCCTGACAGGGAGCACAAGGGAGGCAACGGGTCGATGTGTCTCTCTTACTCTCTCCCTTCTCCCTCCTCTCTTCCACTCTCTGATAAAGCAACAGAGAAAAATCCTCAAGTGAGGATTAACAAAAAACAACAAAACAAAACAAAGAGTATAAAATATGAATAAATGAATATAAAATAAGCATTTCCAAACCACCTCTTCCCTTCCCGAAGTGTCCCGGGTTCCCAGTTCCCAGGAGCTTCCTGGATGCTGGCCTGGGGTTTAAATGGGTGACAAATGGGGGCGTCTCCTCCCTGAGGCCCCGCCTGCCTCGCACCCCGAGGAGCTGTCCCTTCTCCAGCCGGGCGTTCGCCTGCCCTGCTGGGTTTTGTCCTCACAACTTGTGTCTTGACCGTCTTGGACACACTTTCTGCGAGATACATTTCTGGTGGGGGGGTCACTGGCTAAGTCTGAGCATTGTCAAGTTTTCCAATTGTCAAGTATTGCCAAATTGTCCCCTTAAAAGTGTCAACTTATGTTTCTACAGATACAAACAAGAAATACAAATGGAACCCGGGCAATGCCGCCTTTGACCGTGTGGCAGTGGCGGTGGCGGTGGAGGGGATGGGACGGACCTTTCTCCAGCAAAGCCTTCCTCCCAGCAAGGATGTGCAGAGCCCTGCCCCCCGGACCGGCTGGTAGCCTGGGCTCCTTCCCGTTTCTCTTCTTTCCCCTCTGTCTCCTTGCTCAGATGTTCCACCAAACCCAACCCAACTGTGCCCCTTTCCAGCCAAGTCCTCGGCCTCAGAGCTGTTCAGGTGCCACAGAGCCACCCACACGCACTGCACTCCACGTCCCACCTGGCGGGCTGGCCCGGTTCCAGCAGGCTCTGCCTAGACAAGGCCTGACTTTCACAGGTGGGGAGGCGGGGGGGGGGGCGGGGAGCAGCGCCTTTCCTCCCTCACAGACCACAGACGCCGTCAGCCCCATCCCAGGCTCCCTGAACCTCCTTACACCACTCTTTCCTTAAGGTTCTCTATACACAGAAAGCAACTCCCAGGCTGCGATTCACCTCTTCCCGAGCTGAGAAGTCATCTATTCGGTCCATCTAGTTCAGGCGAACAACAGGGAGGAACGTGGTAAAGCTTTTCTTTAGCTTCAAAGGCTCACGCGAAGATGGGGTTCTCCTGCGGCTGGTGGGCCTGCCTCCCCCCCACCCCAAAGGCAGGCCCCCTGGAGGCCACGGGAGGCGGGGCGGGGGCGGCTGGAGACGGGGGCCACCGCTTGGAAATGACAAGTGCTGAGCCTCCCGAGGGTGTGGCACTGAGCTACCAGCTCCTGGCGCTGAAATGGCAAATCCCAACCGCTCATCTGGCTGCTTTGCCATAGAAGCCCGAGAGTGGAGCGGGGAGAGAGAAGCCCCATGAGCCCGCTAGGGCCCAAGAGTATGGGCCCCTGTGAAAAGGTTCTAGAATGCTACCTGCGCCTTCTATGACATTGCCCTCTGGGGGGATGTGTGCAGAGATAAAGGCGCTCTCCAGCCCCTTCCTCATTTCATCAGGATGAGCGCCGTGAAGAGTCCTCATTTTACTGCCATCAAAAAAGGTGCCATTCCCAGGATGCCAAGACCCTAACTGAAGGTGAGCTCTATTTTTTTTAAAACGTTTTTTAAAATCGCATTAATCTGAAGGCGATCACTCTTGAAACTGTCTGTGGGAATGTTGTAGCTCTCCGGTAATGAGCTCTTCAGCAGCTGATAAGCCACGTTGTTTCATCAGCAGAGTGCGCGTTGTAGACTGGACTGGTGCGGAGATGGCTCTCACTTTCCCAGCCCCCTCCTCAGTCTGGGCAGCAGCACAGAGCGCACAGGCGTTGGGTAAGAGAACCGGGTCCAAGTCCTGCCCGCCGAGAAGACGGAGACCACGGAGAACGGGGACCTGGGTCTGCAGGGGTGGACTCGGTCCCAGGACAGGGCACTTGTCTGCAGCCCCTGGCCCACCTTCACCCTCCGAGGCTCCGGGAAGGGGGCGTTTGCTCACAGATGCCGAGGGGCAGCCTGTGGCCTAAGCAAAGTTCTCCATGAGGGGCCAAGAGACGGGTCCTAGGAACACGCTCCCTCCACTTTCTTCCTCTTGAGAAGCAAACCTGGTTTGGCCTGGTTCTCACATCTAGGCTGTAGGTCCATGGAAATCCAGAGACACAGACCCTGTCGCAAACCAGAGATTCCCCACATCCATGTGGGTAACTTCCGGACTTCATTTCTCTACAAGTAGAATTCTTACATAGAGTTCCAGACAATATAACAACAATTGTCTAAAGCATTACCAACTGCAAACTCTTTTTGCTTGATACCCGTGCCGAAGAGAACATGGAAGCGTAGGATGAGGGGTACCACGCAGACCAGAGAAGTTTGCCAAGGCTGATGGAGCCACCCAAGGCCCGGCACAGAGCAGGTGCCGAGACCTCCAACAGCCTGTGCAGGGCGCCTGCCAGAACCTGACCTTGAGCAACGGCTTGGCTCTGAAGGCGAGCTCCATCCTCTGAAGAGGAAAAGAAAACAAGAGCAAACAGAGTGACAACCACAAACATCTCCGTTCCAGAGCCACCTGACAACTAGCGATTGGTCTGTGTTCAGAGTTAAGTGAGCATTAGAAAATCACCAAATTATTACTGCACACCATGCCATCAACACAATGTCGTATAAGTCCCAAAAGCCTGGAAGGTTCCACAACACTTTACTTCTAGATGATGAAATTGTGTGGCTTTAGTTTTTATAAGGTTTCACATATGTGTATTTTACAATGTATTTATCATCTTGTGTATTTTATTCCTTTAAATATTTATATTTTATTATATTTAAAAAAATAATTTTCATGTTATTTATTCTCTAATTTAAAGTCTGTACTTTTATGGGTATTCTAGGAGGATTTCAGGTAATTAAAATTACCTACTTATCTTAACTTGCTAATTATTTTATTTTTTTAAATATTTTAATTAATTTCAAGAGAGAGAGAAAGAAAGGGAAAGGGAGAGCAAAATATTGATCGGCCACCTCCTGCACACCTTCTACACCTTCTACCAGAGATTGAGCCCACAGCCTGGGCATGTGCCCTGACTAGAAATTGAAAGAACAACCTTTTGGTGCATGGGACAACACCCAACAGAGCCACACTGGCCAGGACAATCTGCTAATTATGTTAAATCCATTTATTGTCTAAATTAAATATTTTATTTTCATTTTGCATTAAACAGAACGATGGTGGGATAATACATATAAACTTCATCTATTTATTTTTTGCATTTAAAATTTTTACTAACTGTATTTCTAGTTTAGTGATTTACTATATTTTATATTTCCTTTAAAGTATTTCATTTTGCTTTTTTGTAGTTTCCAAAATTTTTATTGCTTAGATTAATTTTGCATTCCAAATTATTTATTTGCTAATTATTTTACTTATTTCCTGATTCTATCTAGATTGCACAATTTAGAGTATTTTTATTTTTTCATTTGTACATATGCATTTGCTAATTTTTCTACAATGTTATTTTATTATTTGCATGATAATTTGAACAGTTATCCTTTTTAAACCAATTTTCTCAATATCTGGAAATGTAATTTAAAGAACATTTTTTAACCAAAAGATTGTAAGTGCACAAATATTTTCATGGCAGCCTTATCTAGGGTAGGGCCAAATTGGAAACAGCAGGAAAAGCCATGTCCACCAGATCCAGTGAGTTCATTCAAAATGTAGATTTCAGAAACCACACACTGGTATGACATTGAGAACAGATGATTATAAAATTGTATGCTATTATGATCTTTATAGTCACTTCCATTTAATGGTGTGAAAACTGTACAAAGAGCTCTGGCCAGTGGCTCAATTGATTGGAGTGTTGTCTCATACGCCAGAAGGTGTGGGTCTGATTCCTGGTCAGGGATTAGGGCACATACCTAGGTTTCAGGTTGAATCCTGGTTGGGGTGAATATGGGAGGCAACTCATCTACCAATCTCTCTCTCTCTCTCTCTCTCTCTCTCTCTCTCTCTCTCTCTCTCTCTCTCTCTCCCTTCTCCCCGCTCCTCTAAAAATCAATAAACGTATCCTTGGGTGAGAATTCCCCATCTAATAAAAGATAATATGCAAATTTATCATAACTGTGCTACACACAACAAGCCACACCCACCAGCCAATGAGGATCTAGTATGCAAATTAACCCAACCAAAATGGCTGCAGCCACGGAGCAAGCAGGGGGCTTGGGTTTTCCTGGCAATGGAGGAAGCCAAGCTCCCACAGCCCTGACCTCTGTACAAGGCTACAAAGTTTCAATTATACAAGATAAATAAATACTAACAAAAATGGAAGCAGCCACGGAGCTGGAGAGAGCAGGAGGCTTGAGTTTCCCCTGGCAATGGAGGAGGCCAATCTCCCTCAGCCCTGACTTCCACTCAGGGCTACAATGTTTCAATTATAGAAGATAAATAAATCCCAGATACCAGGGCCTCTGCTTAGGTTGCTGGGGGGTGTGGCTGGCCTGCAAACCACCATAGGCC